GGCCAACGGTACTGCATATATTGTTCATTTTGTGCTGCCCTCTGACGGGCTGAGCGGCCATGGGCATTTAAGTGCAGCACCAAGGCGTAGGCTCCACCTCCATGCCAGAACTCCGTGTTGGGGCTGGTTTGGGGGAGGAGGGTGCACTGCAGATCCCTTCTCCCCGATGGCACGTGACAGAGGTTACTTTGCCCCACCACTTGCAGAAGTCCTTACGGCACACTTCACTGCCAGTCAGGAGTGAGCCCAGGGGCCTAGCCAAATTCTGTTAGGCAAGTTAGTGCACTATACAGAACACCTGTCACGAGTCTGAGCATTCCCAGCATTGCACGTATCCACGTCGCTGGTTTTTAAACATGCTTTAGATCCTTCTGAGCATCAGTAGGGGTCAGAGTAGCGGGTCTCAAGTGTTCAGGGTACAATTATCAGGATAGGCAAAGCAGCTTATGCTAATGTCCCATTATGAATTCTGGGTACAGCGTGGATTTTATAGACATTCACATGAAAGAGCCCAGAGTCTGGGACATTCTACAAATCCGAACAGTCAATAAAAAGAGCAGACAGTGGACTGGTTTTTAAAATGCAGCTTCCTGGCTACATTCCAGCCCACACCATCTTTCTGCGTCTTTTCGCAACGTCAGTAATATAATTAGAGAAAGGGATTAGTGAAGTAGTGAGAGAAAACCCGACCAGCCTTTAAAACCGGTCTTGATTTAAAAGACCTTCAAGTAAAAGAGCGAAGTTATGAACTGCTTCCATTTTCCAGGAGGGTGCAGCAAACGTGAGCTCTACAGGGTAGAGAAGCAAAAGCAGAATACCATTGGTCAATTCCCTGTGGGTGTAACGCCACTGAAATCAACATCAGCATGGCTCTGAATTCCTGTAAGTGAACCTGCTGAGTAGTGCTCAGTCACTACCCGCCTCCCCCATCATGAACAAAGATTCCTATGTGCACAAGAGGCAGGGAACATGAGGCATGGTCAGGATTGGACCAGTTTAGATGGAGTCTCAAATATCACTTCCAATACAAAACTGCTGGTTCCTGCTCAATACTGAGGACTCCAAGAATTCCAACTCTTAAAATTAGGTTCAGGGCCTACCCCAGAAGACGGATCAAATGCCTTACTTCAGTCAAGTGGCCAGCAGTAAATAGAGCGCCAAGGAAATGGCAAGTGACTACATCAGCATTGCAGACAGGGGAAACAGGTCAGCGCTGGGCGAGAAAGTGAGGTTTTATTCCTGGAACAGTTTTCCAGCCTCGCCTTTAAACCCAGAATTATCAATCCAGAGACAGCCACTCTAGACAAGGAAGGGCTAAGCAAGAGGTAGAGATAAAGTTCCAGTTTTATTGTCCTCTACTGAGGCCTGGTCTACACTAAAAGTTAGGTCACCCAAGCTTCACACCCCAAGCATGGTAGTTAAGCGGAGTCGGTGGAGTGAACCTCTCCAGGGGGTGTATTACCCACACTGTAGCATTTCAAGTGTAGGTAAGCTCTGGTGAAAGTAATGCATGAGCAAAGTGCCGCAGTGACAATTCAAGAGACAAACTCTCTTTTTCTTCGCCACAGGTATAACCTGGACAGTGGGACTGAAAGCTCCCCCCCACACCACACCTTGCTGGCCTGGAGCACACCTCCCCCTTCCTGTTTTCCAAAGGTGACTGGGTAATTCATTCTTTATCTCCATTCAATTCTTGTTGAGTCTACCCAGCTTGCTAGCAAGGGGGACAGCTACGCCACTGTGATGGCGGCCCACAAAGAACTGGACACGGGGCCCTGGGCACCATGAAAGCACGTGGATTATTAAAGTTAGGTGGAAAGAAGAGCACCTTGGAGAAGTCTGTTGGAGATGTACAGATGGCTGCTGTTACTCGAGAGAGCAACTCAACAGTGCAGAGCTGGGCACCTAATACCACTATTCTGAAGGGAAATACTGTGCAACGTTCCTGCGAGGTGACTTTGCTCTCTGCCTAGACAGCAGCCCTTGCATTAGCTGGAGAGGCGAGGCTTGCAGGGGGCGGCTAGGAAACCCCTCCTGGAGTTCGAGGGAGAGGAGGTTCCCATCTGTAGAGCCCATAAGCGTGACTGCTGTTTGCCTTGAAATGCAAAACTGCACTGGGCCATCTATTTTCACCAGCTGCCCCAGTCTGTGGCTAAATTTTGCACAGTCTTATCTGGATTTGTATAATGACAATGAGCACCCATCCCCAGCTCCGGTTCCTTCCCACACACTTCACATTTACATAAGGATTTTCACAAGGGTACATAAGGATTTATATACGGTTCGTGCCTACCCTTGTAACGGCAATAACCCGGGAAGCTGAAAACGCTTGCTCTAGTACCCCTGATACTCAGAAGTATACAAAG